CAATAATAGGTTGTTTTTTAGAAACTTTCTTTCTTATGTTAAATTCAAATCAAGTATCTATTAAATATGGGCAATATACAAGTCTGTATAAGATTCCTATTCAGCCTTTCATCTCCTATGAACGTGTGATTGCGTAGAACCAAACAAATACCTAAGCTAAGAGGCAAATTCTACTAAATATTTGGAGATAAAACATTATTAATCTTCGGATCACTAGGATTCCCATCTTCTTCGCATTACTGTAGGGAGTATCTTTTAAATTGTGTTTTTTTGCCCCCTGTTTTACCATTCCTTAAACATTTAATGCCAATTTTATGTACATTTAGCTAATTAAAGTGAAGATCTTAAGTAAGATAAGGAAAAACCATAAATATAGACAAAAAATAGTTTAATGAAGCGAGGATTCGTACATTCAAATATTTACAAGATCTAATTTTTCCACTTTTTAGCAGGTAAATACTTGGCTAAATACATATTTACTCATTAAAATAAATAATACTTTTTAGTAATGTAGAAGTCTAATTTTAATTTATAAAATACTATGATTTTCACTTAGTTCATACAGTTTGAGCTAAAATTCAGTTTTTCTAAATCGGCGTTATTAATCGCACGAAAATGCATCGAAAAATGCATATTATAAAGGGGATTTTTAAGCAGCGAAACCTTATAAATATTATGAGTTCGTCTCATACTAAGATTCTTAAGGCCCCTAACATTAGCGTGACATACTACTTTTATTATTTTGTTATTCCTTTACTTGAAATGCTCTTAGTTGCAGCTCGAATACACGTACACATATTGTCCTCGTAGCCCATAAAATCCATGCATGTTCGTATCTTCTTCGTAATACGTCTTCTCAAATGACTCTGATCAATCAAGTTAGAATTTTAAATGATTTTATAAGTTTAGTATGGAATTTAAGTTTAGATTGAATATTTCGCGTTTGCTACCTGAGTTACTATAAGTTGTGTAACGATTTTTACCAGTTCCATTGCATATTTTTCATCCATCATACAAACTTGGTGTTTATTAAAGATAAAATCTAACGTAATTTGTTTACGAAATATGGAGCTGCCTAAGTAAAGACAAATGTAAGACTACTTTGCATCATTCCCTTGTCTTAACATCGTCTGTTACCGCTATACTTGAGGTAGGCTACATTTTTAGTTACCATCAAAAATTTAATTTGTAAACTTTACTCAAGGTTTTTCTTAATTTCAATATTAATGAGAATACCAATTGTTTATCTAAGACTATAAAATTAGTTTAATGTTGTCAGTGAAAGAAACCAAAATAGCTTCTTCTAAAGCCTAAATTTTAGGTATATTCAAGAATTTTTATTCAGTAGTAACTGATCTAAAAAAATAAGGCAAAATATTATAAAGATGCAACGCAAATATATTCTGAGCACAACCAAATGCGTCTATTAATACATTTAATTGAGCACTAAACGTTGCGGGTTTGATAAAAAGCTGAATTCTCAACTAGTAATTTTTGCAAGTTCGAAACCTTATTGTAGCATAAATATATACATTTTATTTACTAACCTGGGAGTTTATAAGTTTTGCTTTCGTAGAGCTGAAATCGTGAATCCTCTTTACCGATAAATGACATGCTATCTTCTTCAAATGAGTTAGGTCCAGGAGCAAGAGCATTACACACCGGGCCAAAGCCCTGTGGCCAGAAAGGTCCATGTCTGTCACGAAGTACTCCGCATCTGTCAACATACTGTTCGCATATGATGCTATCCTCTCCCTCGTGTTCGCTTACTGGGGAGGCATACATTACTGACTTCGGTGGATCAGGGCCTTGCAAAATAAATATATAATTGAAAGTCAATTTAACTTTAGTGTTTAAAATAATTAGCATATGAACCAATACTGTTTTGTAATTTGTACTCTCGTTTATATATTCTATTTAAGCGGGTATCATGCTATATTGGGCACTATTTTTTAAATATTTTATACGACAAGTCAATTCAAGTGTTACTGAAGCCGAGAATTGAAATATGTTTAAAGTGCAAGATATTCTACATTTCTTACATGAAATTACTTACAACAAGTGATTCTACTTAGCAAATATTGTAGAATTAGATAAATTTATAAACTGCAGAATGCTTGTTCAATGTGAACTCTCATATTTCTACATGTTAATTATGCATTACTACCTAGGAATGGTTATAAATGCGAGCCATATGTTGGGACTGAAGGAGTTCAACTAACACTCTTGATGTTAGCATATTGCTATGATTAAGCATTTTAATAGTACCCTAAGTTAGAGTTTACATATTTACTCACATTCTATATGGTTTAGAGGAAATAAGTTGAATAAGAAATAAATAATGATATAAACAGTCACCTGATCTGATAACTCCATTCACTTCATTCATAATAGAAATGTTTCTATCCTCTTGATTTTCGTTAAATGATAGACAGCTTGCATCGCAAGGGACCTGAAAGGCTGAGCAAAATAAACTGTATTTATAAGAAAATAAAATTTTGCCTTATGGCTACTTTCATTATGACTATTTTGCATACTTTTTCCATATAATCTCTTCTTCCGTATCTGAATTAGCGTTTGTGAATTTTGATCTTTTGTTATTTCACTTGTTGAGGTAATTGGCTGATATTCTCCATCTGATAGAGGAATTCGCCTAAGGAAGCTTCCATCGGGTAAGTTTCCCTCATATTCATTGATCGAGGACAGAAATCCAATTTTACTTGCTCCAAAATATAGTGACTGTATAGAGTAAAAGCAATTATGAAATCTTATATATATATATTTTTTCCTGAGTATACTATCATAAATTTTCAAATTAAATGGAATTAATGAGCAAAATATAAAAATACATTTTGATTCAGGTATCTAAATTTTTCCCAAAAGAAAATTTTTGTACGAAAAAAAAGGAATATTAAGCTTTAGCAATTAAGAAAGGACATATCAATACACAGAATATATATGAAACTGTTTTATAAGATGTATAAAGTCCAAAATAGCGTGGTCTTTAATATGGCCATAGTTTCTCTTCGCTTTAGAGAATGTTTTTGAATTAGTTTTTACAACTTGCTAGTATAGCCAGCCAGACTAAGAGGAACGCGCC